GGACAGAATAGGGTTGCTGTTGGTGTACCGACCACCCCGCTGCACCACGACCGCCCACCTGAGCTTGCAGAGTTGGTGTCGGGCCTGGCACTGGAGTCCCAGCGGCTTATTGTGCTGGGGGACTTCAATGTCCACGCAGAGACCACTCTTTCAGGAGTGGCTCAGGACTTCATGGCCACCATGGCAACTATGGGGCTGTCCCAGCTAGTATCTGGCCCTACCCACTTTGCTGGACATACACTAGACTTGGTCTTCTGTCAGGGCTGGGCAGAAGGTGGAGGTGTGGAGGAGTTGTCAATCACGCCTTTGCCATGGACCGACCACCATCTGATCGGGTTTAGACTTTCTGCAACTTCTGACCTTTGCAGGGGTGGTGGATCCATTAAGATGGTCCGCCCCAGGAGGCTTATTGATCCAGAGGGACTCCTGACGGCTCTTGGGGATTTTCCCGTCACCTCGGTTGGTGATTCTGTCGATGCCCTGGTCTCCCACTGGAATAGTGAGTTGACTAGGGCAATAGACACAATTGCTCCGGAGCGCCCCCTCTTAAGTAGCCGAACTAAACCATCTCCTTGGTTCAACGAGGAGTTGGTGGAGCTGAAGCGAACTAAGAGGTGGCTAGAGAGCGTGTGGTGAAAAGACCCTGGCGAATCAAACCGAACACGCCTGCGCCTTTACCAAAGGGCGTAGGGCACGGCAATAGAGGCCGCACAAAATTCCTTCTATTCGGCTAATATTGCGTCCGCAAAGAACCATCCGGCAGAGCTGTTTCGAGTAGTCAGAGGGTTGTTGAACCCCACCTCTCAGGATGGGTCCCCTGACAACTCGGCAGCTCGCTGTGAAGCGTTTACTCAGTACTTTGCAGACAAAGTCGCTTTGATCCGTTCGGGCTTTGACACCACGTTAACGGCAGTCTCTGAGGATGTAAGTCAAGCATCTGCTTGTCCAATTTTGATGGATTCGTTTCGATCTGTTCAACTCGAAGATGTCATCAGGGTTCTTGGGGAGTCGAGGCCTACCACATGCATCCTAGACCCCTGCCCATCCTGGCTGGTCAAGGAAGCCAGAGGGGGTTTGGCAGAGAGGGTAAAGGTGGTGGTTAATGCCTCCCTTCGGGAAGGCAACATTCCAGCCAGCTTAAAACAAGCTGTTAAAAAACCGCTGTTGAAAAAAACATCACTGGACCCCACTCAATTCGTCAACTTCCGGCCAGTTTCCAATCTCCCCTATTTGGGCAAAGTCCTGAAACGTGTGGTGGCCTCGCAACTCCAGGAGTTCCTGGTAAACACGGATTATCTAGATCCGGCGCAGTCTGGCTTTAGGCCGGGGCATGGTACGGAGACAGCCTTGGTCGCCTTAGTGGATGATCTCCGCCAGGAACTGGACAGGGGGAGTGTGTCCCTGTTGGTTCTGCTGGACCTCTCATCAGCCTTCGATACCGTCGACGATGGTATCCTTCTGGGACGCCTCGTGGGAATGGGCCTCGGGGGATACTGCCTTGCAGTGGCTCCGGTCCTTCCTCGAGGGTCGATCCCAGAAGGTGTTGCTAGGGGACTCCTGCTCAACCCCACGGCCATTGTACTGTGGAGTTCCACAGGGTTCAATACTATCCCCTATGTTGTTTCACATTTACATGAAGCCGTTGGGAGAGATCATCCAGAGTTTTGGGGTGCGGTGTCATCTGTACGCAGATGATGTCCAACTCTGTCACTCCTTTCCACCTTCTACTAAGGAGGCTGTTCAAGTCCTGAACCGGTGCTTGGCCGCTGTAACAGACTGGATGAGGGACAACAGATTGAAACTTAATCCAGACAAGACAGAGGTACTCCTAGTCAGTTGAAAGGCCGAACAGGGCATAGGGTTACAGCCTGTACTGGACAGGGTTACACTCCCTCTGAAGGCGCAAGTTCGCAGTTTGGGAGTGATCCTGGACTCATAGCTGAGTCTGGAGCCCCAGGTTTCAGCGGTGGTCAGGGGAGCTTTTGCACAATTAAAACTTGTGCGCCAGCTGCGCCCGTACCTTGGGAAGTCTGACTTGGCCACGGTGGTCCACGCTTTGGTTACATCCCGTTTAGATTACTGCAACGCTCTCTACGTGGGGTTGCCTATGAAGACTGCCCGGAAGCTCCAACTAGTCCAATGTGCGGCAGCCACTCCTCTGTTGCGCCAGCTCCACTGGCTCCCAATTAGCTTCCGAGCACAATTCAAAGTGCTGGTGTTAACCTATAAAGCCCTAAACGACTCCGGCCCAGTTTACCTGTCCGAACGTATTCTCCCCTATGAACCATCAAGATTGCTAAGATCGTCTGGAGGGGCCCTGCTCTCGGTCCCACCTGCTTTTCAAGCGCGTCTGGTGGGGACGAGGGACAGGGCCTTCTCGGTGGTGGCCCCTCGACTCTGGAACTCTCTCCCACTGGAGATCAGAACTGGCCCCTCCATTCTGTCATTCAGAAAACGGGTGAAAACCTGGCTATGGGGTTTGGCTTTCGACGAGTGAATCAATATTTCTGTGATCGGATGGATGACGATGAATGACGGACAACGAATTCACTATGACGACTGACCATTGTTATTATGTGATTGCATTTTGCTGTTTTAACGTTTTAATTGAATATGTTATATGACGTTTTTAATTATTGTTTTGTGATATTGTTGTTGGAAACCGGCCCGAGTCCCCCGATAGAGGGGAGAAGACCGGTATACAAAATTGCTAAATAAATAAATAAATGATATCCTTGAAGCAACTGGCATGACTTTGAAGGAACTGGGGGCGGCCATGGCCGACAGGGAGCTCTGGCGTGGGCTGGTCCATGAGGTCACGAAGAGTCGGAAGCAACTGAACGAATAAACAACAATAAACTGAATAATACCTTGCACCCCATCCAAAAGGAGACATATGCACTCATGCACTGCACTTCTCTCTCTATGAAAAGCCCTATATGTCCTCACAGGACCATTTCTGTCCTCACTAACCTTTGACTGTCATAAGGGATTTTCCCCCCCCCCCCCCCCCCCCGGACATGTGGAGAGAAAGGAGTAGCAAATCAAACTGAAATCCAACAGGGGACTTTCCATGCATCCCAAATTGGATAAGTCAAACAGGTCAAGATATTCAGCTTTCTGCTATATATAACTCCAAATCCTGCTACTAGATACTCAAGGAAGAGACTGATGGATGGATTTCTGGCAAGCTTTTGTGAATTTGCTTGGATTGGAACGTATGTGTGGTGGAGCTGTGTTGTTGGGGGAGAAAGTAGGGATCAAGGCCACATCCAAGTCAGAAATCCTCCCTACAGCCTCGATGACTGGTGTTTTCTCCTTCTTTCTTTTTTCTTTTTGTTTGAGAAATGAAAATAGCATTTGTGCATATGCAGCTGAAGAGTTGTGCCAGTTCTTCACTCGTTTTCATTCTAATCCTTTCAGAGTTGGTGCCATTGAAATTCACTTGGCATGAACATGGCTCAAAGGAGCAGAATGCCCAAAACAAACCCTACCTAGCCAACTGCCCGCATACCCATTAATGACCTCTTCCCCCCACCTTTAATGGCCTGTGTCTCCATTATGTGAAAGAGGTCATGTCTCGCTTGATGTTCTGCTGTTGTGAGGATAATCCAGGGAACTCATGATCAGAACTGGCAGGAAAGTTGTCTAGGGCACAGAGAGACCCAGCCATCTGGTAACAAGCCAAGTCCTGATCAAGTTGCCTCTGAGAGCTTGTATTTTGTTTTCCTCTATGCTTCCAAAAATCGGCACAAGGCATGGTATTACCTTTTCAACAACTGTGCATTGTGCAACACACAAGACCCTTCAGCTGCATATAAATATGTATTATTTATTTATTTACTGTATTTATACCCCACCCTTCTCAACCCCATAGGGGACTCAAGGCGGCTTACATATATAGGCAACAATTAGATGCCAAAACACACACATAATAAAACATAAACATTAAAACAATAATTATAGAGCCCCTGCTGGTGCAGTGGGTTAAACTGCTTAGCTGCTGAACTTGTTGACCAAAAGATCGCAGGTTCGAACCTGGGGAGCAGCATGAGCTCCCAGTGTCAGCCCCAGCTTCTGCCAACCTAGCAGATCAAAAACTTGCAAATGTGAGTAGATAAATAGGTACTACTCCGGCGAGAAGGTAATGGCGCTCCCGGCAGTCATGCTGGCCACATGACTTTGGAGGTGTCTACGAACAAAGCCGGCTCGTTGGCTTAGAAATGAAGATGAGCACCAACCCCCAGAGTCGGACATGACTAGACTTAATATCAGGGGAAACTTTTACCTTTCCTTAAAACATAATAGGAGCCCCCGATGGCGCAATGGGTTAAACTCCTGTGCCGGCAGGACTGAAGACCGACAGGTCGCAAGTTCGAATTTGGGGAGAGGCGGATGAGCTCCCTCTATCAACTCCAGCTCTTCATGCGGGGACATGAGAGAAGCCTCTCACAAGGATGATAAAACATCAAATCATCCAGGCGTCCCCTGAGCAACGTCCTTGCAGACGGCCAATTATCTCACACCAGAAGCGACTTGCAGTTTCTCAAGTCGCTCCTGACATGACCAAAAAAAAACCCAAACGTAATAAAACCTGTTTATTGATGAATTGTGGGCTTGGTCTCACGTAAGCCACACTGAGTCCCTTGGGGAGATGGTAGCGGGGTACAAATAAAGTTTATTGTTATTTATTATTATTAAAACCAATTATTTAAAATCATGCAATCCAATATTGTAGTCCTTGGAGGTATCATATGGGCAGAAGAATGAAGGTTCAGCAAGGGTATTATTCTAGAGTTAACATTCCCTTCTATCCTTCCTTATAGTGTTTAGCACTGGTAATGTTTTCTCAGACCAAATTCCACTTGTGTTGTGAAGAACTTATCATAGGTGCAGTCAACATGGTTTCATAAGGTCAAAATTATCTGTGTCTGCTTAACTGACCTTGTTTCTTCTTCTCTCCTTTTCCGTTTCTATTTTTCCTGTTCTCTCCTGGACAGAACTCCAGCATGGAAGCCATGTCTTGCAACAACTCAGATGAACCCCCTACTTCCGCTATTTTCTTGGACACCTGCCACTTCTCTCAGGTCATCTTTACAAACGTGGAAAAATTCTACGTCCCTGGAGGAGACATAACTTGTCATTATAACCTTTCTCAGCAGATCATGCCACGCAACAAAGACTGGGTGGGCATATTCAGGGTAAGTTCATGGTATAAAAACAGCTGCCTGCGTGATGCAGTGTGGACATTGGAATTTACTTACGATGAGTCATGAATTCCAGATTACAACACATTGGCCAGCTGGGCTTATAAATGCTTCTCTTTCCCTTCCCTTAAGTATCAGCCTGTTTTCGGAGATGAAGTAATGCCAGAAAGATCAGGATTTTGTGAGCAGGAGAAACAAGGGAGGGGCGGCTATTTTTCAAATACTCAGTTATCTTAAAGTTAAGAAGGCATTTATATCAGGGAGCTTGAATTTAACATTTTTTCACCTGCTGTTAATAAATTAGTATCAGAGCGTATTTCCTCCTTTGTTGTGGTTTCTAAACGGATAGCTGTGTTTGTTTCTTGTAGCAAACCCACAGAGTCTTTAAGACAAAGGTAAAGTTTTCCCCTTAATATTAGGTCTAGTCGTGTCCGACTCTGGGGTGGTGGTGCTCATCTCCCATTTCTAAACTGAATAGCCGGCATTGTCCATAGACGCCTCCTAGGTCATGTGGCTAGCATGACTGCATGGAGCGCCATTACCTTCCCGCAGAAGCAGTACCTATTGATTTACTCACATTTGCATGTTTTAGAACTGCTATGTTGGCAGAAGCTGGAGCTAACAGCGGGAGCTCACCCTGCTCCATGGATTCAAACTGCCGACATTTTGATCAGCAAGTTCAGCAGCTCAGCAGTTTAACTTGCTGCACCACCGGGGCTTAATCCGCTGCGCCACCACCATATTTATTATAGCAACTTTTGTGAACTGTAGCCCACTTTAGCAAGTGCATCAATTGTAGTGAGCTATAATCCCTGAGTGTTCATACTATAACACGTATGTTCATCCTTAAGGTGCCACAAGATTCCTTATTGCTTTTGCATTGTTGCATTTTCCAGGATCCGCACTACAACATTTGATTAGTTTTAATGATGCATGGGTTTCCCCAAAGTGTCTTACAAGATATAATTTGGCAGGGGTGCCACAAATTCTCTCCATTAGGAATACCTTGCCTTGCTCAAAAAATGGAAGAGGAAATGATCATGATAAAATAATAATAATAATAATAATAATAATAATAATAATAATAATAATTTATTTATATACCACTCTATCTCCCCAGGGGGACTCAGGGCAGTTTCCAAGCAACAATTTCAAAACATGCAGAGTCACAACATGAACAAAAAATAACATTAACAGCAACATAAGCATGGAATTACCCAACAACACATAAATATTAAAAGAAAAAAATCCTGCCTGTATGTAGGTTAAGGGAACAATTCTGTAGGTACTCAGACAGAGCAGTTTAAGGGTCACTTTATTGTCAAACTGGGTAGTGTTCCAGAAGGACAGCAGTTATACTAAATATCCCAGCATGCAAATTTCATCAGTACATATCTTCCTCTGGTAGTTTTCCATCTGATCTGTAGGTTGCTATGGTTGGCTACAGTATGCAGCAGCATCTATGTTATCTGAGCACAATTGAATTAAGTTGTACGGCTGTCGTGTAAATATAACCCTGCAAAGGTTTCTGTTTGAGTAGAAATCTTGTGGCATTCCTGGGCTCCAACACTTAGTACTTCTAATGATTGACCATGCTGGTTGGAAGGGATGGAGCTTGAGCTTCAAAAAGCAAAATACTCCAGAACATCCAACAGACTCACAGGCACACAAAAATTTAGCAAAATAAATCTACTGTATGCATGAAAGATGTACAAATATTTCCATTGCAGGTGGGATGGAAGACGACTCGCGAATATTACACTTTCATGTGGGCACCTTTACCAAGCAATGCCAACAGCAGTGATGCTGAACTTCAACAGGTGCTTTTCAAAGGTCAGTGGGAAGAAGGGGAGGAATTGGATGGAGCAGGTGTGCAGCCTTGTCCTATTTGTTATAGTCCTATCTTGCAAAAAAAAAATTAAAAGACTTGGCAACCTTTGGTTTTGAAGATTAGAATAATAATAAAAAATAATAAACTTTATTTGTAACCCGCGTGTGGGTTCGTACACAGAAATGCGGTCACACAGGTAGGCGGGTCCCAAACCATTCAGGGCTTTGTAGGTAAGAACCTGCACCTTGAATTGGGACTGGAAAATGAACGGCAGCCAGTGGAGCTCCTTAAACAGAAGGGTTGACCGCTCCCTGCAAGAAGCACCGGTTAGAAGGAATTAATTTTAGGAAAATGTTATCTTAATGTTAGAGGTGTTGATAATTAGTACATATAACAGTTGCAAAGATGATCAAAAGTCAAATTTCTTTATTTTTGTTATTTTCTCTTTTTTCTATGTCTTTTTATTTTTCTGCATATCATTTAGAGTGTTGTTAAAATGTCTCATAAAAAGGAAAGGGGAAAAAATAGATCAACCTGAGTTGGAAACAGCCTTTAAGACATGCAATAATTATAACAACAACAACAATAATATCCAATATAATAATAATAACAATAGTAATATATAATACATAATAATAATTATAATCTAGCATATATATCTCATTTGCTGTGACATAATGTGTTTTTGTGTCAGTAAAATAATAATAATACTTTATTTTTAACTCGCCCTCTCTCCCCAAGGGGACTCAGCATGGCTCCAATAAAGTAGCTTCTATTGTTTTTACATGCTTAAGAGTCTAGAAATGAGATTTGTTATTTTTTCCTTTTAGCTTACTACTTGCCAAAGGATGATGAATATTACCAGTTTTGTTACGTTGACCAGGATGGACAAGTCCGTGGGGCCAGCGTCCCTTTTCAGTTCCGTGCAGAGGCTGAGGATGACATGTTGGTGGTGACTACACAGGTTTGTCTCTTCTTTTGCCCTGAAGCTTGTAGTGCAGGACCATGAAAACGTTAGTCTTCCAGATGTTTTGAATTCTGATTCCTACAGTCCTATGTCATTATGATTTTAATTGTTTATTGTTATTGTTTCTATACGGTTTATACTATATGTAATTGTTTTTGACTGTATTTTATCTTGTGGGGTATTGATTGCCAAATGTAAACTGCCTCGAGTTGCTTCTGGCCTGAGAGGGGCGGTATACAAGCATAGTAAATAAATAAAATAAATAAATCATTGGCTATGGTGGGTAGGGATAATGGGAGTTTTAGGCCAAGATGCCTGGCAGAAGAGTTCCCATCTCTGATATAGTCCTTTGAGACTGAGGCCCCTTCCACACAGTTGAATAAAATCCCATATTATCTGCCTTGAACTGGAATATATGGCAGTGTGGACTCAGATAACCCAGTTCAAAGCGGATTTTGGGGGATTTTCTGCCTGGATATTCTGAGGGCCCTTCCACAAATCCCTATATCCCAGAATCTAGGAAGAAAATCCCACAATATCTGCTTTGAACTGGGTTATCTGAGTCCACACTCAGATAATGTGGGATTTTCTGCCTTGGTATTCTGGGATATAGGGCTGTGTGGAAGGGCCCTAGGAAAGAAAGCATCCCAGACAGAATTAGGGACAGGGTCGTGTCATTTGGGAGACTGTGGTAGTGGTGAAGTTAAAGGAGCAAAGTTTTCTGATGCTTCTAACACAAGTGTTGCATGCCATTGTGGAGAGATCAGATTTTGCTGACACATCTCTTCAGCCAGCCAAGTGTTGAGAAGCAGCCCAGAGAGAGCACATCTGTTCAGTGTCAAGTACTTTGGCTTAATCCCAGCGTTTGACATTGTGAGCAGCTGTGGTCTCTGAAGGGTCTTCTTCCAGTCCTCCTTATGTCACCTAGTGACTTTCTCAAGAGGGATATCTCTATACATGTGTTGGCCCCATCTGTCCTTTCTTTGCAAAGAACATAATCATTCCTTCGCTGTACATCTCTTGTTCTTGCTATTGTCTTTTGGCTGCATAATTTGGGTCAAATTTTATTATTTATTATTATTTATTTCACAATTTTGTATACCGAGCTTCTCAACCTCGTTGAGGGACTCAGCCCGGTTTACAGACATAAAAACATATACATTCATTAAAATATCATATATCACAATTACAAAAACTTTAAAATAACACTATGTCTAAAACTACTGTGGTCAGTCGTCCTATTAAGATGGATCTACATCAACTTCCATCCAGGGTCCTATGGTGTTCTCTCATTCCTCGAAGGCCTGACTCCACAGCCACATCTTCACCCGTTATGTGACAAGAAATAGAACATCAAGAAATAGAACATCAACTCACTGAAAGAACTAACTTTCAGTGAATCATGCTAAGTTCACCATCTGTATTGACGAGTTTCCCACAATAATTGTGTTTATTAAATGTTTTAAAAATGTTTATTTATGCTTTATTGTAAAGTGGGGTTTATAGGTTATTGTTATATGTATTGTTTACTTTTATTGTTTTAAAATGTTGTGAGCCACTTTGGGTCCCGTTTAGGGAGAAGAGATTTATTATTATTATTTGAAACACAACAAGATTAGTACACAGCAGACAAGATCACTCTGGTGGCTCTTGTATTGGATGACACATTGGACTCTTCCCAAGAGTCTAGGATTGTGTGATGTATCAGTGAATAGTGTGTGCAGATCCAGTAGGGTGGCCTTTTGCAGCTGACAGATGGTAATTTTGTCAACACCGATTGTGTTTAAGTGCAGGCCAAGGTCTTTAGGTACTGCACCCAGTGTGCCAATCACCACTGAGACCACCTTGACTTGCTTGTGCCAGAGTCTTTGCAGTTCGATCTTTAATTCCTCGTATAATTTTAGCTTTTCCCGTAGTTTATCTTCAATCCTGCTGTTGCCTTGGATTGCAACGTTGACGATCCATACCATGTTTTTTAACACGATTGTGAGGTTGTGCTCCAGAACTCTGTCAGTCTGAATTTGGAAGTTTGACGTGTTCATTTTCCATAACTTTTTCAGGCTTGTGATCTCACCAGTTCTTTGTCACAGTCAGATGGTATTTGTGGCACAACTTCCAAAGAATCATCTGAGCAACAATGTTATGCCTCAGCTTGTAGACGGTTTATTATTATTATTATTATTATTATTATTATTATTATTAGGATTTCTCTTCCTTTATTTAGTGGATGAAATAGGAGAAAGACATTTTTTTCATCAGGAGTTTTCAAAGCTCCCTGTCTATGTCTTAAAAGCACTCGAAGAGGATAGGGGTGAAATTTCCTAATCGCCTTTCCTTCCCTTCTATCAGAATTTTTAAAAACTGACACCATTTCTCACAGAGTGTGGTTTGGCCATAAGTCTCTCTCAACCTGATACCCTTCAGATATTTTGGACTGCAGTTCTACCAGTACTTGGCCATAGACCATGCTGGGTAGGGATGATGGGAGTTGGAATCCAGAACACTAAATTGCTTCAGCTTTTGCCTTGTCACATCCCTTGGGGCTCATTGACTAGAAACTTGTTATCGATGTTCCTTCTGAAGAACCACCTGTGCCTTTGGGGAGAGTTGTACTGTGTTGTGGACTCATGTGTTGATAATGTTTGTTTGCACCAGGGAGAAGTAGAGGAGATTGAGCAACAAAATACAACCTTGCTTCAGGAAAACCAGAATCTGAAAGAGAAACAAGCAAGCCTCCAAGAACAGAATGAGGATTTGCAGAAGAAACTCAGAGTTGCAGAGGTATTTTTTATTCTAAAACACATAAAAATCAAATGGCAAGGAACTCTTAAGCCCCTGCATGGAGAAAAATAACATAGATCAAACGCTGTCAAACTTGGGGCTCATTAACCAGAACCTTGAAATAGATGCTCCTCTTGAAGAACCAGCTTATCTCCCTTCCTTCTAAGGCTTCTAACAGAACCTAAGATAATCTGGTGGGAATTTGAAGGCAAATGTTGTCAAAGAGATTATGGGGAAGCAAAGTTACTATTGCTGGAGATGTGGTATGTACAAAGGGACATATTTTCATTTATGGTGGGAATGCCCCATGCTTAAGAGTTTCTGGAACAATATATTTAAGGAAATAGGGAACATTATAGGACTAAACATCAGCCTAGATGCTAGGTTAGCATTATGAATGGCTGCCACAAAGTTGAACTTGGAAAGGGGGTTAAAATAGAACTGGTGATTATTTTACTCACGGTGGCAAGACTTATAATTGCAAGGAATTGGCAGATAGTAACCAATCTTACTCTGGAAGCATGGTACAGGGAGGTATGGAACGTAGCCTTAAATGACAAACTATCAATAGAAATGAGAGTGTTCAGGGGGGAAATTAAATGATCAGAATTTGATTCATATTGGTTGGTTTTCATTAAATATATTTAAGAGAGTGATAAGGGAAAACAATACAACCTTGTCGATCAGGGATTTTGGATATGACATTTGTTTGCTTGTTGTTTATTCGCTCAGTCACTTCCGACTCTTCGTGACCTCATGGACCAGTCCACACCAGAGCTCCCTGTCAGCCGTGGCCACCCCCAGCTCCAGAGTCAAGCCAGTCACTTGAAGGATACCATCCTTTGTTTACTGGTTGACTCATAAATTTATGGCAAAGAAAATTATACTTGTTTAGGCCTTGGTGGTGGGGTTATGTGTTTGTAAAATGTTCATAGTTTTGTATTTAGTGTTCTGTTTACACTGTAAATTGTTAATGTATGCAAATAAAATGTATATTTAAAAAGAAAAGAACCAGCTGTACCTTTGGGCAGAGTAGTGTTGACTCTTGGAGACCTGTGTTGATAATATTCAAGTTGTGATTATTTGTTTATTTTATACCAGGGCGAAATGAAGGAGACTATGCAACAAAATACAGCCTTGCTTCAAGAAAACCAGAAATTGAAAGAGGAACAAATTAGCCTCCAGAAGCAGAATGAGGATTTGCAGAAAAAAGTCACGGTTGCAGAGGTATTTTTATTCTAAAACACATAAACATGAAATTGCAGGAAACCCTGAAGAAAGAAATGTAACCCATGGAAGAACTTGGGAGCACCATGCAGCTACGCCTCACTTTTGGCCCATTTCCACTTCACATCATTGACTATGTAGTTAAAAACAGGTGGAGGATCAAAGGTTTGCCATAGGTTCCCTGTTGCGTTTGAAGGGGAATTTAAGTCTTCCTTCTCTTGCTGTGATAACTCCTCATGTCAAAGAGTGATATTCTTTTGGTAGTTCCCCCACTGAAATGAAAAAAAAGGAAAAGGCAACAGGGGAGAAGTGTTAAATTCTCCTTCCATCTGAGTGTGTTAATTCACAGGCCTATAAAATTGGAAATCATGATTTAAAAAACATATGCTGGTTTTATCAGAATGTGGTGTTCTAAATCCCAAAAAATTACCTCAGGTTTGCATGCAGATTTTTTTCACAATGTTGTAATATGTGACCAAATGAAATTAGAATTGATATTTGGGAAAGAATTGTGCGTAGTATGACGTTTTTATTGTGTTTTTTAAAAAATCTAGCACACTACAATACATTGCAGGCCCCAAACTGATGCCATTTGCATTCAATGAAATCTGCAGGATTGGTGCAAAGGCACATTTAACAGCATGAGTTGCTTGACCATTAATGTTCTAGAAAAAGTAAATTTCTTAATAACTGACTTTGTGTATTTTAACTGCAACTATATTGTGTATTTAACACAACTGACATTGTGTGTTTTAACATTGCGCCCCCGGTGGTGCAATGGATTAAACCATTGTGCTGGCAGGACTGAATCCAGGGAGAGTGTGGATGAGCTCCCTCTGTCAGCTCTGGCTCCCTATGCGGGGACATGAGAGAAGCCTCCCACAAGGATGGTAAAACATCAAAACATTCGGGTGTCCCCTGAGCAACCTCCTTGCAGATGGCCAATTCTCACTCACCAGAAGTGACTTGCAGTTTCTCAAGTCGCTCCTCACACACACACACACACACACACACACACACACACAAACTGCAACTATATAGAGTAGGGTTAGGCAAATGCAGTTGGACTGAAACTTCTGTCTTAGTCAGTATAGCCAATGTAGGGAGTATTTGGAGTTGCAACTGTCGCCCCTTCTACACTGTCAAGTAACCCGGATTATAAAAGTAGATAATCCACATTATCTGCTTTGAACTGGATTATATGAGTCTATGCTGTCATATAATCCAGTTCAAAGCAGATAATCTGGGTTTTATATGGCAGTGTAGAAAGGGCCTGACAGATGGTTAGATGTGGTTCTCCAGATACTGACTGCAGCTCTCGTCAGTTATGAGCATTAGCCATGCTGGTTGGGGTTGAATGGATATCGAACCCAACCAAATCTGAGGTCCATATCTGCCAGCCTGTCACATGTTTGCTATAGTCTTAAACATCAGTGTCTTCCCTGTATTGTGTGTATCCAGGAGGAGAAAAAGGAATTTGAGGAAAAAGTCCGTCTGCTGCAGACTGGGACGATGGAGCTTCAGAGAGCTCAGGACCGACAGGCTTTAGAGATAACCTCTGCTCAAACTGAACTTGCTGCTGCCATGGAAAATAATATCAAACTGCAGAAGGAAAAGGAGGTAAACACAGCGAGCACATTCTCTGGGGTTAGGGGCACAGGACCCTCATAAAAGTTTTAAAATGCAAATAAAGACATTTATTTATTTAACTCAAGATAATACTTCTCTAGGAATTTCTGCTAAGGTGCTGTAGTCAACTTTTGCTGGAAACGGACTGCAAAATCTCTCTGGATGACCTAGAGCAGTAGTCCTCAACCTGTGAGTCCCCAGGTGTTTTGACCTACAACTCCCAGAAATCCCAGCCAGTTTACCAACTGTTAGGATTTCTGGTAATTGAAGGCCAAAACATTTGGGGACTCACAGGGTGAGAACCACTGACCTAGAGGTTCGTGGAGTGGTAGTCTCTTTAGGAATCTTTAGATCTTCCAGTGTGACTCTGCGGTCTGACTTCTGGAAGATTCCCAGAGACAACATTTTAATCAACTCCACAAATAACTGAATCAGCAAAAGTCATATCTGCAAATGTGGTGGGACATCTCTAATTGAATAGGAGATATTATGGAAGAAAGGCTAATAGGCTAGGTGAAAACGGCATCTCTGAAGGGATAATGTTAATGTTTTAATGTGTGTAATGCATAATGTGACTCTGTTTTAATAATAATAATAATAATAATAATAATAATAATAATAATAAAACTTTATTTATACTCCACCACCAATCTCCCCAAGGGGACGCATTGCAGCTTACATGAGGCCAAGCCCAACAACACATCAGTAAAAACAAAACAGCAAGCAAATAAAACAGTACAATTAATATAACTCACATATAAACAATAACACACAGAATTTAAAACCTTATGGCTGTGCCAGATATAATAAATTAATTTTTTTTAAATAAACACTGGGCGTGAACAGAGGTAGGATGTATCTAAGCAGGAGGGTTTTAAAAGATAATGGGAGACCAACCCAACGGGTAGGAAAGTGCTTCTGAGGACAATTGCAGAGAATTAATCAGAGCAGGGCATTGTTTCCTTATTCAGGGAAGGAACACTGGAACAGCCACGTTTTCAAGCTCCTCCTAAAGACTGCCAATGTGGGGGCTTGTCTGATATCCTTGGGGAGTGAGTTCCAGAGTCAGGGGGCCACCATAGAGAAGGCCCTCTCCCTCGTCCTGACCAATCACGCCTGCAAAGGGGATGGGAGTGAGAGCAAGGCCTCTCCCGGTGATCGAAGAAATCGTGTGGGTTCATACACAGAAATGCGGGTCCCAAACCGTTCAGAGCACCTGGAATTGGGACTGGAAAATGAATGGCAGCCAATGGAGTTCCTTAAACAGGAGGGTTGGCAGCTCCCTGTAAGTCGCTCGTTAGTAACCTGGCTGCCACCCGTTGTACCAATTGAAATTTCCAAGCCATCTTCAAGGGCAGCCCCACGTAGAGTGCATTACAGTAATCCAATCTGCTTTGATCTTTAATAATAATAATAAAACACTTATAGCCCACCACCATCTCCCATAGCGACTCGGGTGACTTTTAAAATAGCACACAGTGGTGCCATACAACCATAAAATGGTTGTATAAAATGTAAATACATCAACATTTACATAAATGTACATATAATACATCAACATTTAAAATCTTTGCACATGTCCAATAGTTTTTAGCTTTCCTATAATGGGGCAACTCCCATTATTCAATTCTGTCTACTCTCCTTACTTTTCAGGTTCTTGAAAAAAGTTTGGATAACTTAAGGCTCAATAATGAGAAAGTCAATGAAGAAGTCAGTCGTCTAAAAAAGCAGGTTACTCTTCTGGAAACACAGAGCAATTCTGCAGAGACAGCACTGTGCCAGTGAGCCCATCTATTTTTTATCATGGTTTTGAATGCAAGTTGACACCATACTTTCTCATAGATAATGAATTGAGGCAATCCTTGGACTAGTTAGCTTATTTTGTTTTCTCTGGTATCAGACTATAGTACTAGATTGTTTTCAATGACCATACTTAAGGTTTAGATCAAGTCTGCACAACTTGTGGCCCTCCATGTGTTTGTGACTCCAACTCCCAGAAGCCCTAGCCAGCTTGTCCAGTAGACAGAAATTCTGGAGGGACACAGGTTGGGCAGTCCTGGTTTAGAGTATAAATACATCCACTATATGGGACTGAATCATAGTCTCGCATACTATGGCTTTGTCTTAAAGATTCTACTCCCAAAACCAGAAAACACCCATGAATATTTTCTCTATATATCTCCAATAAAATATATTGTCTTTATGAAATATTAATCTAAGGGAGAGATTTGTTTTAAACGCAGGAGAAATTCCAGAAGACATAAGCAGAGAACATACACCTGCAACTCCCACCATTCATAGCTAGTAGAGCTATAAGCTTAAATCCAACAAAACTGGAGAGCTGCATGATTCCAAACCCTGCACACTAAGCTTTTGTAGTATAGGTTTTTTTTGGCTAAATACTGGGTTGCTGTGAGTTTTCCGGGCTATATGGCTGTGTTCCAGAAGCATTCTCTCCTGACATTTTGCCCACATTTATAGCAGGCATCCTCAGAGGTTGTGAGGTCTGCTGGAAACTAGGCAGTGAGGTTTATATATCTATGGAATGGGTTGTTGGGCTGGGCATGTTTAGTCTGAAGAAGAGAAAGCTGAGAGAAGACATGACGGGCATGTATAAATATGCCCATCATGCATGTGGACAATTTCAACAGAAAGGAGGAAACCATGAAAATGAACAAAATCTGGTTACCAGTATTTTAAAAACTCTAAAATTAAAACAGCAAAACAACAGAGAGGAAACAATCAGGGACATCTAATCACCTCTCAACAAAAGATTGCCCCAGGCACTAACAAGCCACACCAAACAACTGCTAGGCCATCAAATGCTAATCAAGGTGGTGAGTTGAAACATTCACACCTAGCTCCAACAGACAAGAGTTCTTTGTCCCACCCTGGTCATTCCACAGATACATAAACCAATTTTCCTAGTTCCAACAGACCTCACTACCTCTGAGGATCTGTTGTTGTGAGGTCTGTTGGAAACTAGGAAACACACCTATCTCAAACAGACAAGAGTTTTTTCTCCCACCCTGGGCATTCCACAGATATATAAACCTCCCTTGCCTAGTTTCCATGAGATATCACAACCTCTGAGGATGCTTGCCATAGGTGTAGGCAAAATGTTAAGAGAGAATGCTTCTGGAACATGGCCATATAGCCTGGAAAACTCACAGTAACTCAGTGATTCTGGCCACAAAAGCCTTCGACAACACAATTTTTGCTACAATAACATAATCACCCTTGAAATTGTTAAATCAATTATATGGTTCTAAGCCCCCAGTGTATACACTCAATAAATAGCTCGAAGATTAATCCACGTTGTTCTGTTTCCAAACAGGGTCAAAGAAGAGAGAGAAAATATATTGATTGAACATGAACAGCTGCAAAAGAAGCTTAAAACCACCCTGAGTCATATCGATCAGCTTCAGGTAAGGAAGGATATCTGAATCTTCTCTTGAAGCTTACAAACCATAGGGACCTTAGGTGTATAGGAAGTGAATGTAGGCTCTTCAGAAGATTCTTCCTTTGGAGAACCCTAAGTAAATTTGAACTTTAATGGGCATGGCTAAATAATACAGTTGCCCCTCCACATTTGCTATTTTGCCTTTTGCTTATTTGATTATTCATAGATTTGATTTAAATGTTCTCCCTAACAATCTCTCTACATCTTCAGTGTGACTCTATGATGAACTTCCTCTGGTTATGTTGGAAAACTTAGTTTCCTAGAGAGAAGATCTCTCTAGAAATCTCTAGGTCCTCCAGCACAATTCCATGCTCATCTTCCAGCAGATGTCAATAACAGAGTCATGCTGGAAGGCCTGAATATTCTCAAAGAGATGTTTTCGTGGGTTAGAAAACATAATTTATTTGTGTTGTCAAAGGCTTTCATGGTCGAAATCACTGGGTTGCTGTGAGTTTTCCGGGCTGTATGGCCCTGTTCCAGTAGCATTCTGTCCTGACGTTTTGCCCACATCTATGGCAGCCTTCCTCAGAGATTGTGAGGTCTGTTGAAAACTAGGCAAATGAGGTTTATTTATATATCTCTGGAGTGTCCACGGTGGGAGAAAGAATTCCTGTCTGTTAGAATCATAGAGTTGAAAGAGACCTCGTGGGCCACCAATCTAACCCCCTGCCAAGAAAAAGGAAAATTGCATTCAAAGCACCCCCGACAGATGGCCATACAGCCTCTGTTTAAAAGCCCCCAAAGAAGGAGCCTCCACCACACCCTGGGGCAGACAGTTCCACTGTTGAACAGCTCTCACAGTCAGAAAGTTCATCCTAATGTTCAGGTGGAATCTCCTTTCCTATAGTTTGAAGCCATTGTTCTGTGTCTCCAGGGCAGCAGAAAACAAGCCTGCTTCCTCCTGCCTATGACATCACCTCACATATTTATACAGGGCCATCATGTCTTCTCTTAGCCTTCTCTTCTGAAGGCTAAACATGCCCAGCTCTTTAAGCCTCACCTCATAGGGCTTGTTCTCCAGACCTGTTGGTGGCCAATTGCAACATTCACACTTGCCTCAAATAGACAAGAGTTCTTTCTCCAACCTTGGACATTCCACAGATATATAAACCTCACTTGCCTAGTTTCCAACAAACCTCACAACCTCTGAGGATACCGGCTATAAATGTGGGCAAAACAACAGGAGAGAATGCTTCTGGAACATGGCCATACAGCCTGGAAAACTCACAGTAGCCCAGTAATTTCTTTATTCAGTTTTTTTTCCACTTTCATGATGGTCCTGTATCCTTAACCCCAGCAATTGTGGAGGGATGACTGTGCACCCAACTACATAATTTATGGTTAATCTCACTCACAAACCAAGGCCGATTCTTCATTCCAGCTAACCGCAAATTGATAGTTGATTTATAGCTACTACCGCAGCCAGGACTGAGGAACTGGCCCTGATGCCAGATACTTTCTATCTGATTATTACAGTGCATGTTGAAATGGTGACCATAATGGAATGACTTTCCAAGTCATTTTCTGAGCTGTTTAAAAATATCTCCAGCACTTGTTGACTGACTTTTAGTTCACAATTCTAGTGCTCCATAGAGTGGTTTCTTTCATTGTTTTAGTAATAAGGAACCACTGAAGCAATGTGAGGTGCTTCTTAATTCTGTAAAAGATGTATAACGGGTGTTGCCTTCCAGTTGTTGACAGATCAGAATTCCTACCACCCCTAGCAAGCATAGCCAGCAGTAAAGGATGATGGGAGTTGTAGTCCAAACAAATCCGCAACAGTCCCACATTGCCCACCCTGGTGTAGTTCTTTCTCCAAGAATTGGAGGTTAATATTGAACTTGATCCTTTTGGTTCCATGTAGAAAAAGTGAACAAAACATAAAAAGAACCCTGTTGGGTTAGATAAAAGCATTATATTCTGCAATCACAGTGACTAACAGCTGCCTCTGGAAAACACATAAGCAGGATTTGTGCTAAATAGCCCACATTTGTTTATATTCTTCAGGAAAGGGTATTGAATAGCCTATAGTCTCTTTTAAGCATTTTCAAACTTGAAAGGGAAAAGTAGAAAAGTCAACATTATTTTTGCACACTTATTATGTTCTTGGTCTCCACCTCTTTCACCAGGTCTTTTTTTTCTTATATAAGGTTTCTCTTTTTGCTTCTAAGGGCCCTTCCAGACAAGCCCTATATCCCAGGATTTGATTCCAGGTTTTCTGCATTAAAATGCATTATATGAGTCCGCACTGCCAGATAATCTGGGATAAATAGAAAACCTGGGATCAGATTCTGGGATATAGGGCCTGTCTAGAAAGACTTAAAGGCTTTCCCCTGACATGAAGTAAGTCTAGTCGTGTCCGACTCTGGCAGGTGGTACTCATTTCAATTTCTAAGCCAAAGAGCTGGCATTGTCCGTAGACACCTCCAAGACCATGTGGCCAGCATGACTGCATGGAGCGCTGTAACCTTCCCGCCAAGGCAGTACCTATTTATCTACTCACATTTGCATGTACTCACATTTGCACAACCTGGGGATCACAACCAAATATCAAGCAAAAACTGGGTGCTAGAAACAATATCATACAAAAGCTGACTGGCACAACCTGGGGATCACAACCAGATACAGTGAAGACATCTGCCCTTGCGCTGTGCTACTCTGCTGCTAAGTATGCATGCCCAGTGTGGAACACATCTCACCACACTAAAACAGTGGATGTGGCTCTTAATGAGACATGCCGCATTATCACGGGGTGCCTGCGCCCTACACCACTGGAGAAATTACACTGCTTAGCCGGTATTGCACCACCTGACATCCGCCGGGAAGTAGCAGCCAATAGTGAAAGGACCAAGGCAGAGACATCTCCAGCTCATCCCCTGTTTGGGTATCAGCCAGCACATCTACGACTTAAATCTAGAAATAGATCTACAGAGACACTTGCCGGAACACCTCAGCAAGCGAGAGTCCAAAAGTGGCAGGCTCAAACTCAGCACCTCAATCCATGGGTGATACCAGATGAGAGACTCCCCCCTGGGCACACAGAAGACTGGGCGACTTGGAAGGCGCTGAACAGACTGCGCTCTGGCACCACGAGATGCAGAGCCAACCTTCAGAAATGGGGCTACAAAGTGGAATCCTCGACATGTGAGTGTGGAGAGGAGCAAACCACTGACCACCTGCTGCAATGCAACCTGAGCCCAGCCACGTGCACAATGGAGGACCTTCTTGCAGCAACACCAGAAGCACTCCAAGTGGCCAGATACTGGTCAAAGGACATTTAATCAACTACCAAACTCACAAATTTTGTATTTTGTCTGTTTGTTTGCTTTGTTCTGTTAGAAATGTAATATAATTGACTGGTTGCTGATGACTCGATAAATAAATAAATGCATGTCTTTGAACTGCTAGGTTGGCAGAAGCTGAACCAGAAGGGCCCTTAGTGATCCCATAATTCTAAATCTGGAAATGTTACCAAAATTCCAGGAGGTTACCTTTTGAGTCTTAATTGTTCAGTGTTTCCTTCATAATTTGTGTAATTTGTGTTTTGGGAGGCACACACATTTGTTGTTTCATCTCAGTCAAAGCTGCAGAGTCAACAGAAAGAAGCGGGAGATCTGCAGCGTGTAGTTCAAGACAAATCCAGGCACCTGGAACAACTGAAGGAAGAGAGTCGTACATTAAATGCAGCTTTGCTCAGACAAGTAAGCTGGCCTTACCCTTCCTTTAATGCAGATCAATGGTTTTCAAATTGCTTTGGGGGGATTTCCCAGGTAGTGGAGACCTATGATAGGTCCATCTGAACTTGGAAATGACTTAATGTACACAAGGATCAGCACCTGGATCTTCCTACCAATAAACTCTAACACAATTTAAACAAGAGATGTTATGATTGATCTGAAAGTTTACCATGCAAAGATTTTGTCCTTCTAAGAAAGGATGATCTCAACTTGTCATGGATAGTCTGAGAGAGTGTGGTTGGTCCAAGGTCATTCACAGGATAAGGTGAAAAAAGTCCAGGGATAAAAACTGGATGTGTGGCTGGATATATGGCATGGGCTGATCCATGAGGTCACAAAGAATCAGAAGCAACTGAACGAATGAACAACAAATACCAATACTCTTTATTACCAATTGGCTCATCATTAAAATGGCATTTTTTCTATTTTCTCAGCAAAATTTGGAGGAGGAACTGAAAGAGAAAACACTGCTGTTTCAGACTCTGCAGAAGGAAATCAATGAAAAGGAAAAAGAGAATCAGGTACACATTTTGTTGATGATGTTGAGGATGATCACACCCCATTTTCTGGGGCAAAACATTAAAAAGGAGGTGGGAATGCATTATAATTTATCTTTAAGAGGTTATTATAGAAGGGTCTTGCAATCCACGGAAACACTATTAAAAAGCTGTCAACACAGATCACTAATACTATGTACAGTATATGTGATCAAGGTGCAAATTAAGGAATGCTAAAACGAGAGAACAAGTTGATGCATTAGGAACTTCTGTGCCTGTTTTGCAAAGCTACTTTGAAGGACACTGAAAAACAGCCCCCATTAATAGACTAGTGACAGCAATACCTAATATATTTAAAGTTCATATGTAGTCACACCTGCCTTAATTTCTTTGCCAGCATCCCTATATTTCTTTCTCTCCTATCACTTGATTCAGGGTTGTTTCCTGTCTCCCACTCCACTTTCATTTGTTTGTGCTCCAACTAAAATACAATCTCAACCGCTTCATCAAAAAGGATTTTGGCTCATTATGTTCCTTTAGAGAAGAATAGATTGTCCAACTTTCCCAGGCAAGACGACAGAAAAGAAATTGATTTTATTCAGCTGTGTGGAAGGGTCTTCAATGTTGGTCAAGACTGGTGGGGGCTGATGAGAGTTGGGGCCCATCTACATTGCCATATAATCCAGTTTGAAACTGCAGTGTTATATGGTCAGTGTAGTGCAATTCAATGCATTATATGGTAGAATAGATGGGGGGCTTGGATTTCTACAACTTCTAAAAGGCCACATGTTTTCCAAACCTAAAATAAAATGTTCTTCCAGAGCTTCATTTTCTATATCTCAGGTACAGTCAACCATTTTGGGCCTAACAACTGACAACCCATACGTTTGGAAGACACTGACTTCTTATTCTATCACTTGTTTTTGCAGTGTTTAAGAAGGGAAAATGAAGGACTGATGGTACACCTTCCAGAAATGATAGATCATCCACCAGCTGGGCTCTTAACTCAGTCAGCAGAACATTCAGGTCTTTTATTTGGGAATCCATATTCTGGTGAGTATATTAGGATAGCCAGGCTTTTGGCGTGTGTGTGTGTGTGTCAGGAGCGACTTGAGAAACTGCAAATTGCTTCTGGTGTGAGATAATTGGCTGCCTGCAAGGATGTTGCTCAGGGGACACCCAAATGTTTTACCTTCTGGTAGGAGGCTTCTCTCACGTCCCTGCATGATAAGCTGGATCTGACAGTCAGGAGCTCACCCCACTCCCCAGATTCAAACCATGGACCTTTCAGCCAGCAGTCCTGCTGGGACAAGGGTTTAACCCTTGTTTCCGCCAGGGGCTCCTCAGTGCAGCCAGTTGAGATCAAGGGCGAGGAATGCCTCTCTAGGAATTGTTAGGTCCTTTGGAATCTTATGGAAATTGACTATAGAATTGCAATGGGGACCTAGAGAGTTCTAGAGAGGTACTCTTAGAGGTTAAAGTGTTGGGAAATTGCAATCTAACATCTGAAGAGCATGAGATTGGAGAAGGATACAGCAGTTTTGGTCTGATTAATTTAAGGTTTGAGGCTTCTGGGGAAAAGACAATAGTGTCGTCCTGTGGTTCCCCATTTGTGCCAAAATGTATTTAGTTCTGTTTTAGGAGCTTATCGCATGAGCTTATCGCACTGGAGCCCCCGGTGGCGCAGTGAGTTAAACCCCTGTGCCAGCAGGACTGAAGACCGACAGGTCGCAGGTTCGAATGTGGGAAGAGCGTGGATGAGCTCCCTTTATCAGCTCCAGCTCCTCATGCAGAGACATGAGAGAAGCCTCCCACAAGGATGGTAAAAATATCGAAACATTGGGACATCCCCTGGGCAACGTCTTTGCAGACGGCCAATTCTCTCACACCAGAAGCGACTTGCAGTTTCTCAAGTCGCTCCTGACACGACACATAAAAAAAATCGCATGAGGCAGGCAAACTGCAATTACAGTGCCTTTTGCTGGGACTTAAAACAAAAAACAAAACCACAATCTGTTTATGACTTTTTTTGGTAAGATAAATGCCTTCCAACAGTCCCCCACTGGGGAGCAATAGAAGAGGAATGATACCATGTGATAAGTCCCACTGTATAGAATACATGTTATTACAATCTACCTGCCTTATGTGATACAGTTCTGAAATAAAATAGCTTCTGTATTGTCTTCCTTGAAACATTTAAAAATTATTGTGCACTGGACTTTCTTTCTCTGGAGGCTTTTAAACAGAGGCTGGATGGCCATCTGGCAGGAGTGCTTTTCTTTTATCTTTTGTTTTGTGTTCCTGCATGGCAGGGGTTGGACTGGATGATTCTATGATTAACCAACTTTTGAATATCTGCCTTAAACCAATTTACTGGGGGGGGAGGGGGGGGAGGAGTTGTTGCATTTTGCATTCTGGGATTAACTTTTATGTATTCTATCTATAAGAAAAAAACATTTAAGAAATATAATCCCGAAATGATAAGGTGACATTTAGGAGAAGAGACCTATCATCATAACCACAGAGTCGACTGTAAAACAGAGATTATTTCTTCTATTCCGCTGGTTTCATCTTAATGTTCCATTATTTTCTTTCCTGTTGTTTTCCCTTTTCTTTTTTTGTTCCCAATTTGTTTTATTGGGCCTAAAAATATTATCTTTTGTTTTGCAGCCCCAGAGATTCCTGAAACAGATTTGGTAAGTAAGAGTAGGATTTTTGATGTGTTTTCATGGATTTTTGGGAAATAATTTCAGTGTCATTGTTGAAGCTTGTTCTGTTTTCTTCCAGGCCCTAAGACCTTGCAGTCCTAACTAGATACCATTTATACTAATTATTTCTTAACAGCCCTGTATCTCTTTCCCTGCCTCAGTCTGCTGATTTAAAGCTCTTTCATGGAAACTACTATTTCAGTTTTGGTTATGGTTTTGGTTCCTTAGGTTGCATTTACTGCACAATACTTCTAGTCGAGTACCACTTTACCTTTCATGGCTACATCCTGTGGAATTCTCATATTTGTAGCTTGGTTGATATATTTGGAAGTCTTTGCTAGGGAGCCCTAGTCCACTCCCCTGGACTACAGCACCAGAGATCTCTAGCAAGGAATTAGAGGTACTTCACCAAACTACAAATCCTAGGATGAAGCTGTGGCGCCTAAAGTGTTATCTAATTGCAGTAACGAGGTAGTGAGACTGAACATTGGAACATAATAATAATTATTTTATTTTATTTTTGTCGTGTCAGGAGCGACTTGAGAAACTGCAAGTCGCTTCTGGTGTGAGAGAATTGGCCGTCTGCAAGGACGTTGCCCAGGGGACTCCCGGATGATTTAATGTTTTCATCATCCTTGTGGGAGGCTTCTCTCATGTCCCCGCATGAGGAGCTGGAGCTGATAGAGGGAGCTCATCCACTTCTCCCTGAATTCGAACCTGCGACCTGTTGGTCTTCAGTCCTGCCATGACAGGGGTTTAACCCACTGTGCCACCGGGGGCTCAATAACAACAACAACAACAAAAACAACAACAACTTTATCTCCCCCAGGGGGACTCAGTGCGGCTTACAAAAGGACACGGCCATCAATACAGTATACACAATATAATGCAAAAACATAATAGCAACAAAAAATTACATAAAATGCAAAACCAACATAATAAATGATACAGCAATATAAAATCAAACATTAAAAACACAGAGGTCTTCACTGGGCAAGGCGAAATTGAAGGATAAAAAAGTTAAAACACTGGGAGATAGGACAAAATAAGTTATAGGGAAGGGGATGCGGGAATGAGGAGGATTTAATTGCACTAACCATAAAATAAAGTGCTTCTAAGGACATTTTGTGCAAAGTTTGACCAGGAAGTATCTCACATTTAATCACTGAAGGCACATTGGAATAGCCAGGTTTTCAAATTTCTCCTGAAGATGGCCAGTGTGGGGGCTTGCCCAATATCTCTGGGGAGTGAGTTCCAGAGCTGGGGGGCTACCACAGAGAAGGCCTTCTCTCTTGTCTCCGCAAGTCGCACTTGTGATGTGGGCGGGAGCGAGAGAAGAACCTCTCCAGAAGATCGAAGAAATCATGTGGGTTCGTAGATGGTAATGCGGTCGCGCAGGTAGGTGAGTCCCAAACCGTTCAGGGCTTTGTTGGTCAAGACCTGCACCTTGAATTGGGCCCGGAAAATAAATGGCAGCCAGGGAAGCACCTTAAACAGGAGGGTTGACCGCTCTCTGTAATTCGCACCAGTTAATAATCTGGCTGCCGCTCATTGGAACAATTGGAATTTACAGGCCATCTTCAAGGGCAGCCCCATGTAGAGCACATTGCAATAATCCAATCTAGAGGTAACTAAGGCGTGGACCACTGTGGCCAAATCCAACTTAAGAGCTGTTCAACTGAAATCTGCTGCCTTGGCGTGTGGGGAAGTTTCTTTCCCTGGCAGTTTTAAACAGAGGCTGGATGGCTTCTTATTGTGAGTGATCTGCTTGTAAATTCCTGCATGGCAGAATGGGGTGATGGAGCCCCGGATGGCGCAGTGGGTTAAATCCTTGTGCTGGCAGGACTGAAGACTGACAGATCGAAGATTCAAATCCGGGGAGAGCATGGATGAACTCCCTCTGTTAGCTCCAGCTTTCCATGTGGGGACATGAGAAAAGCTTCCCACAAGGATAGTAAAGAATCAAAACAGCTTGCCGTCCCCTAGGCAATGTCCTTGCAGAAGGCCAATTCTCTCACACCAGAAGTGACTTGCAATTTCTCAGGTGGCTCCTGATATGGAAAAAAAAAAAGATTGAGGTGGACTGGATGGCCTTTGTGGTGACTTCCAACACGATGATTCTATACCTTTACTCATACAGTTCTATGACAATATTATTATTACTCTATTAATACCATTGCTATTATTAGTATTAGTTTTTTTTTCCTTACGAGCTTTTCTGTGTGGGTCAAGGTGAGGAACAAATTCACAACACAACACATCATACCAATATTTCCCTCTCCCAGCCCCTGTCAAGTAGAGTCTTCAGTCTATTTAGTGGTGTGAAGAGGAGGGTGTAGGTGGTTCATACCATGATGTAGCAACTGGATTTGGCTTGATTGGGAGGAATAAAGGCATAGATTGCATACATCCTCTGCTTTGTTCTTACAAAAGACAATTGTATCTTTATGGTCTGAACTGCCTCCACTCGCCCTCCCTTTCTCACTGGCAAGCAGCAGCAATAAGCAATCCCTCTCAAGACTTGACAGATGCCGGGTGAGGTTGAGATGAAGCACAAAGGCAAGAGAACAGTCCTTGGGCTCTATCCAAAAACAGGAAGGAAAGAAAAAAGAGAAGGAAAAGAAAGAAAAAAGAAAGGACGAACAAACTAAGATATGTGCACGCAAGCTGTCTTTGCGAGCAGTATATCACTAGCAGGATTCAGGTCCTTGTCTGTCACTATTACATAGTAGCCGTGCTTTCACTCTACCATTTGCCAAAATGTCACAATATTTATTTATTTATATCATTTCTATCTTGCCCATATCAGCCCAAAGGCGACTCAGGGCGGCATACAAGTTGGTAACAATTAAATGCCATATATAAAAATACATACATCGGTAAAAGCAGAAAACACCACCATACATTTAAAAACCATAAAAAACAATGAATAATAAGAATTATAAAAAATTATGTCTTCTTGTACAAATCCTCAACCATTCCATCGTCTCAATTGTTCCAAGTTCATTTTCCGATTTCAGTTTTTCTGATCATTCTGTGGTTGGAAATGTCAGGAGGGAGGGGGCTGATCTAATATCCCTAGGCAGGGAGTTCCACAGGTGAGGGGCCACCACAGAGAAGGCCCTGTGTCTCGTCCCCGCCAAACGTGCTTGTGAAGCAGGCGGGATCGAGAGCAGGGCCTCCTCAGAAAACCCCAAACTGAGCTGTTTGTTTTTCCCCTGTTATATGTGTGCATTGTGCAGTTTCAAAAGAAATAAATCTTTTCTACTTTCTTCTCTGTCTAGGTCTCTGTGAAAAAATGTCCTATGTGCAGCAAAGTTTTCCTTGATGATGTTGAAGAGCAGGAGTACGTGGATCATGTACAGAGCCACATCCTGGAATGTTCGACTTGCCATGAGTCTTTTGACAATAAGCAAGTTTATGATGACCATGTCTACTGTCATACGTTAGATGTAACACCTCCTTAAACATTAAACTGTAAGGGATTCTATCTGGGTCTTTTTGCCCCTTACTTTTCTCGTTGTGTGATCTGGAAGTGACTGACATGGAATGGGTTTTGTAAGATGAAGGGTTTGCTGCTGTTAAATTTGATTTGCCATGATTATTGTATTTATAGCACTGACAAGTTCCTCTCTTGCACTATACGACTTAGTCAATTAAATATGCACTTTGCTTGCCTTGGGAAGAGATACCTATTGTTTATCTTATCACGTCTTTCAACCGGTTAAATCTTGGTGCTGGTTATTATGAAAAGAGGTGGTATTTCTCCCCTGTGCATGTTGCTAAGGATCCTGTCACAATACATTGTTGTAGCACTGTTATTGCACTGCCATGGCATCATCTTGTGGAATTCTAGGGTTTATAGTTCAGTGAGACACTAGAGCAGTGATTCTCACCTGTGGGTCCCCAGAAATAATAATAATAATAATAATAATAATAATAATAATAATAATAATAATGTATTGTCGAAGGCTTTCATGGCTGGAATCACTCAGTTCTTATGGTTTTTTTAGGGCTATATGGCCATGTTCTAGAGAAATGCCTCTAGAACATGGCCATATAGCCCGAAAAAACCCACAAGAACTGAATAATAATAATAATAATAATAATAATAATAATAATAATAATCTTTATTTATACCCCGCCACCATCTCCCCAATGGGGACTCGGAGTGGCTTACATGGGGCCAAGCCCCAACAACATATTACATCAAAATAAAACCAAAACATGAACAACAAGCAACATCAAAAGGAAAAAAATATGAATAAAATAACAAAATAACATTACAATAAACAAAAAACACAGTTGCAGTAACAGTGGGGGGCCATGTGTACAGGATAAAAAGTTAAAAACTCTAATGAGATGAAAATAGGAGCAAGTTATTTGCAGGGAGCTCATAAAGACACAGGATTGTGAAACTAAACTTCCCATTTGGGGGGGAGGGGTGTACTCCAGTGACAGAAGCGTTGAGGGGAGCAATAGTGTCCCAGTCACTTTACCAGCTGTTAGGATTTCTGGGAGTTGAAGTCCAAAACATCTGAGGACTCACAGGTTGAGAACCACTGCACTACAGTTTTCTGGCAGATAATTACAAATGTCCCTCCATACATTGCAAACCCCAGGATTCTGTACAATGTTGATTTGGCAGTTAAATTCGGAAACAGTACTGTAACAGTGTCGTGTGATAGGGCCCTAGTACTGAATAGCCATTCTTTTCCTCTTCTATGTTTGTAACAGGCAGGGATCTCTCCATTGTAAGCTATTTGTTCTGTAATATAGTGTGTCTAGTTGTGTAAATAATAGTCCCTGAAAACCTTCGTTTGCTTTGTTCATGGTAAGAAAAGGCATAATCCTGAAACAAAATGCAAGAGTGGTGGCAGCCCTACTGGCTCCTGGCTTCTTGCTGTTTTCTGTATGGATATAAGAGGAAAGTCTGTGTTCCCACCTATGTTATATCATATATTCACCATAATGCGTAAAGTAGGAGGTCAGAAGAGGGGGAAATGGATTGTGTTTCACTTGCAGTCTAAGCCTTCTCCAGCCTTGCAGGGTATTGGGCTTCATAATCTTGTGTTTTCTTCTTATAGTCTAGTGCAGTGGTTCTCAATCTGTGGGTTTTGTGTGTTTTGGCCTACAACTCCCAGAAATCCCAACCTGTTTACCAGGTGTTAGGATTTCTGGGAGTTGAAGGCCAAAACATCTGAGGACCCACAGGTTGAGAACCACTGGTCTAGTACTTCTAGAGTACAGGTTTCAAACTCATTTTCACTGAGGATCACATCAACCTTATGGTTGCCTTCAAAAAGCCATTTGCAATTGTAACTCTGGCCCCTTCCACACTGCTGTGTAAAACCCTACATTATTTGCTTACAACTGGGATATATGGTAGTGTGGACTCAGATATCCCAGTTCAAAGCAGATATTGTGGGATTTTCCGCCTTGATCATCTGGGTTATAAATTTGTGTGGAAGGGCCACCAGTTGCCCTGGCACTGAAAGCCTTGCGGGCCACATCCTTTAGAATACATGTCTATCCTCCAGACATGTATTCTAGAGGATATGTGGTGAGGATGGCTGATCTTGGCATAATTTCATGTCCAGAATCACTCTATGATTGCATAGAAGGATGCTGTTTTCACCAGAATTGCCTTTTGCCTTACTTAACAAATATTTTCCAAGAAGGCTGTTTAGCGAAGTGAAACACAAGTGGTTATAATGTGAGCATTTCATCAGTTCTAACCCTACTCTTAAGTTCACCGTAGCAATGCAAATAGCTGCAGATTCCATTTTCTCTGCACATCTCTCACCCTCAGGTACGCAACTGGGGAAGAGGGTAGCATTTCGCACTCCTTGGGGGAGATACCTGCTTAAGGGCCCCCTCGGTTGTGGGACAAGTTCACCAGAAAGTGCTTCTGTGTACCTACTTGCTGAAAAGCAACAAGCAAATAGCAGCATGCTTTTTAACCCAGATCATAATCTCAGGATGAAATTTGTAGTAAATTATTCCCTCAACAAACCAAAAATAAAGGGACATAAGGGCCCCTGGTGGCGCAGCAGGTTAAAGCACTGAGCTGCTGAATTTGCTGATCGAAAGGTCGGCAGTTCAAATTGAAGGAGTGAGGTGAGCTCCCGCTGTTAGCTCCAGCTTGTGCCAACCTAGCAGTTCAAAAACATGGAAATGTGAGTAGATCAATAGGTACCGCTTCCATGGGAAAGTAATGGTGTTTCATGCAGTCATGCCGGCCACATGACCTTGGAGGTGTCTACGGACAACGCCGGCTCTTCAGTTTAGAAATGGAGATGAGCACCACCCCTCAGAGTCAGAAACAAGTAGACTTCATGTCAAGGTGAAAACTTTACCTTTAGGGAATGACAGACAGACATACTGAAGCATAGTGAATTCTATTGTCAAAGGCTTTCATGGCTGGAATCACTGGGTTGTTTTTTCAGGCTATATGGCCATGTTCTAGAGCAGTGATTCTCAACCTGGGGTCCTCAGATGTTTTTGGCCTTCAACTCCCAGAAATCCTAACAGCTGGTAAATTGGCTAGGATTTCTGGGAGTTGTAGGCCAAAAACATCTGGGGGCCCCAAGTTGAGAACCACTGTTCTAGAGGCATTCTCTCCTGATGTTTCGCCTGCATCTATGGCAAGCACCCTCAGAGGTTGTGAGGATGCTTGCCATAGATGCAGGTGAAACTTCAGGAGATAATGCCTCTTGAACATGGCCATATAGCCCAAAAAAACCTACAACAACCCATAGTGAATTCAGTTGGAGATTTTTTTGGGGGGCGGGGAGAGAGATTGTACTACTTAACATTGCATGTTAAGATACTTCTCTTAAAAACAAATTTACACAGAAGTCCTAGTGATTTCGTGGGCCTTCTGATGTAGCATGTTTTAGGAATTCCATGTCAAAACAATTCAGAGCCACTTTTCAATGAGTTTCATATGGAAACAGAAGAGCAGGAATGGGACTGAGCAATCTATCCTGCTACTTTTTAAGACGACATTTGCCATATCGTAATAGGTTGAATTCTGTACCTGCCGTCCCACTTTTAGACAATGCAAAGTAATTCACTAATAAAGTCACACCATGGAAGGTGTGAGGCTCCAGGTGGTGTTAGACTTCTACTCTAATTATTCCTGGCCATTTTAGTCAGTGGAGAGAGATAAGAGGCACTGTCATCAGCATCTGGAATGCCATATGTTCCCCTTTTATGTGAGCTAACTGTTAGGGTTTGGAACTTTAATATCACAGAGTACATGTCCAGATAAGGCATTGCCTTCCATCTTGAGTTGCTTGCCCTTGTATATTTTTCCCAGACTGTGAGTTAACAGCAAGCTACTTAGAAGGGCCTCATTTAAGCAGCTCATGGAATATAAAGCTCAGGGCCTAGAACCAGTTCTGTTTTTTAAAAACCAAAACCAAAAATACTCACCCGTCCTATTGTATTCACTGCCGCTAAATGCTGATCGGTAGCTCAGGAATCAATCACCTAACAAATGAATATTTTAATACACTGTGAGCTTTTAATGCTGAGTTGGAAATGGAAAGGCTAAATCCAAATGTTGATTCAGTAAATCTCCATGATGGTAAGAACTGAACAGGTTTCCCGTGTTTCTTGAAAAATACTATTCTTAAATTGTTATTTTGATATTGATAGCACATATTCTTCTATGCAAGACCAAATGCTGTAATGATGGTCAACTACTTATATTTTGCTGTGTTCTAATTACTGATAAATACCCAGTGCTGTCGGCAGAAGCATTTATTTTAACTATAATGGCAACTTATTTTTAATTATATTTAATATTACTTTTTGAATATGGTGTGTTAAAATCTGCTACTCATGAAAATCTAAAATTGTATTGACTGACTTCCTATGCTTTAAATAAATAGACTGAAGTAGTCCTCTTATTTGAAATGCCTTATAGTAGTTCTTTACTAAAACATTTCATTAGAATATTTCCAACATATGAATTATCAGGAGCCGCGGTGGCGCAATGGGTTAAACCCTTGTGCGGTTGAACTGCTGACCTGAAGGTCAGTGGTTTTAATCCACGAGATGAGGTGAGCTCCCATCTGTCAGCTCCAGCTTCCCATGCAGGGACATGAGATAAGTCCCCCACAGGCGTCTCCTGGGCAATGTCTCTCTACTGACAGTCAATTCTCTCACATCAGAAGCAACTTGCAATTTCTCAAGTTGTCTCTGGCACAATAAAAAATATGAATTTTCCAAGACAGCAGTGGGAAACGATACCCCATATATTTCTCCACTGTAGGGTTGGATGGAAGCATTTTGATAAGCCAAAGGACAAGATGGTTCCCTTCTCCATTCCACAGATGCTGACATCTTGCTGCATGCCTTCAGTTTGTTTGTGTGCCTTCACTTATGATCATTCTAAGGCAAGCCTAATACAGGGCTGTCTTGGCAAGATCTGTCGGGATGGAGTTGCCTTTGGCTCCCACTGACATTGAGAGGGCATGACTCACCTAAGGTCACCAGTGGGCTTCAATGGCCAAGAGGGGATTCAAGCCCTAGCCACTAGTATCATTGTCCATCACACAAACTACTACACCACACTTGTCTCAGAAGCAGACTGAACTGGTAGTTAAAATTTACTTGAATACTAGTAGAGACCAGAATTCTCCATTGAACATGCAACTTACAGTCTAGCATATGCGATGGTCACAAAACACATACAGCTATTTTATTTGGGGTCTTGTTATTACTACAGATACCTAGGACATTATCACACAAAGCTCTAAAAATGGGTTTCATGTTTCAAACCTATCTTAGGTTTGAGCTGGAGCATGCCAGGATACTCTTCTTATTGTACCAATCAATTCCCCAAATGCTTGAAGAAACTTGCAAACACTTTCGGCTTGCCACAATGGCTGGGATTTATCTTCTCCTAATCTATGCATCAAAGCAATGGTATTCCCCATAGTAACCTATGGATGTGAGAGCTGGACCATAGGGAAGGCTGAGCGAAGGAAGATAGATGCTTTTGAACTGTGGTGCTGGAGGAAAGTTCTGAGAGTGCCTTGGACTGCGAGAAGATCCAACCAGTCCATACTCCAGGAAAGAAAGCCTGACTGCACATTGGAGGGAAGAATAGTAGAGTCCAAGATGAAGTACTTTGACCACATCATGAGAAGAAAGGAAAGCTTAAAGAAGACAATGATGCTGGGGAAAATGGAAGGAAAAAGGAAGAGGGGCCGACCAAGGGCAAGATGGATGGATGGGATCCTTGAAGCAACTGGATTGACCTTGGAGGTGGGGGTGGTGACAGCCGACAGGGAGCTCTGGCGTGGGCTGGTCCATGAGGTCATGAAAAGTCGGAAACAATTGAACGAATGAACAACAATCTAGGCATCACCCACATTTGCCCCCTCTTTTTTTGGGGGGGGGGAATTGAGCAACGCTGTAAGTTCAGAATCTCAAGATACAGGTTTTGCAATTAAATACTTCTGTTGTAAGTTCAGAAACACTGTCTATTTAAGCACTTGAAAAGTTAATGCAAAAGGAAAGCAGCATTTTACATTTGTTTAGGGACCTTATCACATGGAAGCCGGGGGGACAATGGGGGAATCCATGGGGCAGCATAACACTTTGCCCCCTTACCATAGATGATTGTGGGATCTATTCCTGCGATGTTCCCAGGCTTCCTTCTGCATCCTCCGCAGCTTCTTCTGAGGAGTTGGGTGTACACTCAAATTTTCAGGGCTCCATGTCTCTGTGCTGCTGGCACACTGCCGGAACGAAACCCAATGGAGCCCCGCCAGAAGTAGCTCTGTGTCATCTCACAACCTGTAAGGATGGCTGCCATAGATATGGGTGAAATATCAGGCAAGAATGCTTCTGGAACATGGTCATGTCTTTCCTAGTTTCAGTCCTATCTTTTGCCACTTCCTTGGGAGGCTGAGCTCCAGGTAAGTCTTTCTTGTTGGCCAGCAGTACCAAATAATAATAATAATAATCTTTATTTATACCCCACCACCATCTCCCCAATGGGGACTCGGAGCGGCTTACATGGGGCCAAGCACAGACAACATATTACAGCAAAAATAAAACCAAAACATAAGCAACAGCATCAAAATTACATGAAAAAAAGCACCATCACCAGTTCTACAGCATTCATTACAGACTCCAACTCATATCTGGCTTTCTGAAAGCATTCATAGTCCATGATGTTGACCACAAAGACCACCCCATCCGTGTTGGGATAGTAATGGCACCACAGGGTGCCGACTTCTAATGGATTACCACATCGTAAACCTGACATTGCCAACGGGTTCCGTTGTCTCCACATTGCAATCTACAGTGGATACTGTTGTGACAGTTTCATTCAACTTTAGCTGATACAAAAGGATAGTTCCAGACAGACTCAACAGAAGAATATGAGCCTCTATCTCATGGAAGTTCCACCATGTATCTTGAATCTGGCTAAATCAATGTTTCTCAACTTGAGGGTTGGGACCCCTGGGGGGTGGGGGGTTTGCGAAGGGTCGCCAAAGACAATCAGAAAACACAGTACTTTCTGTTGGTCATGGGCATCCTGTGTGAGAAGTCTGGGCCAATTCTATCATTGGTGGGGTTCAGAATGCTTTAAACATCAGTATTCACATTTGGGCATATTGAGAGAGCTCGTGCCAAGTTTGGTCCAGATCCATCGTTGTTTGAGTCCACAGTGCTCTCTGGATGTAGGTGAACTACAACTCCAAAACTCAATGCCCACTAAACTCTTCTAGTATTTTCTGTTGGTCATGGGAGTTCTGTGTGCCAAGATGGGTTCAATTCCATTGTTGGAGTTCAGAATGCTTTTCGATTGTAGGTGAACTAAAAATCCCAGCAACTACAACTCCCAAATGACAAAATCAACCCCCTCCCCACAACCCCACCAGTATTCAAATTTGGGCATATTGGGTATTTGTGCCAAATTTAGTCCAGTGAATGAAAATACATCCTGCGCAACAGATATTTACATTACAATTCATAACAGTAGCAAAACTACAGTTATGAAGTAGCAATGAAAATAATGTTATGGTTGTGGATCACCGCAACATATTTATTTTATTTATCGTGTCACAGGGACATGAGAGAAGCCTCCTCACAGGATTGCAAGACATCCGGGCGTCCCCTGAGCAACATCTTCGTAGACGGCTGATTCTCTTACTCCAGAAGCGACTTGCAGCATGCAAACCACAACATGATGAACTGCATTAATGGGTTGTGGCATTAAGAAGGTTGAGAAACGCTGGGCTAAATGAAACCCGCTGAAAACACAGGAAAGCAGAGTTTTCATTCTTATATTAAGAGTTGGTTTCTGTTTTATTGGCTCAGCTCCAAGAGGCATGATTTGGAAATCCCTTACTGTTTTGCTGGCATGCTAGAAGTTTTGCAATCTATCTTTCTGACAGGAGATTTGGCATAGCAAGAGTCAAGGGAAGTAAGAGGGAGAGTAAATTAGAATTCTGGCTGCAAAAGCCACAAAGTCACATACTCTCGGCCTCATATATACAGAAAGTAAAGACTCTGTATATATGACACTTTCTGTATATATTTCAGATTTCAATATTGTCAAAAATACGTAATATAATTTTACATAGGATGTGTGCTACTTTAGAACAGTAAAGACAAATATCACATAAGTAAAATAAATATTAAATAACTAAAAAAGGCGTATAACTAAACTAATCTGGGAATCTGCTATTGCAACACATGCAAAGGGAAGCAATGGCAAGCCTCTTTTGAACAAATACTGTAATAAGTGCACCAGAAGCTTGAAATGATTTGAAGGCAAACTAGTAAATCTTTCTATAGGGAGAGCAGAAAAAAAATGAATTTTGACAGCATCTACACTGTAGAATTAATGCAGTTTGACACCGCTTTGACTGCCTCCCGCTTTGAAAATATTCGAAAGCGGGGGATTGGCGGGTGGAAGCCGAGAACGCCTCAATATTCAAATTAGCAGTACTTCCCCAGCGCTGATTGGCTAAGAGCCTCCAGCCTCGTGGCTCCTGGAAGAGCCCAGAGCGACCGTTTGCCTCGCGCTCATGCAATCTGTAGCGCGCGCGGGGGGCAGAAGTGAGCCGGGAAGAGACAAAGAGTCGTTTGGATCCAGAAGTACGCATGCGCAAAATTGGGAGGTTGGGAGGGAACAAACGGGGAAGCGAAGTGCAATTCTCTGCGCAGCCGCATTGGGCTTCGGCGGTATGTAACTCCCCGCAGCCTCCACATTTCCTGTCTGGTGTCGCCTGTAATGTTGTTTGAAAAGACAAGGCGGCTCGGGATCTACATTTTGACCAATGAGAGAGCAGTATGTCTCGTTTAGTTTGGCTAATAGGGATGAGAGGGCGGGACCTTCAGGACACAGACAAAGATGGGGAGAAAGGAAGAAGGCGGTGGGTTTAACTCTGCCAGTAGGCGGGACGATGGTTCTGATTGGTTGAGGGCGCTGAAATGACAGGGGGAAAGAAGAAGGCGAAATGGCCGCACGGGATAAAAGGCCACGCCCCCAATTGGTTAAGCCCCGCCCATTCAGCCTGATTGTTTTTCTGCCACTCCAGCTTCCACTTCAAACACCTCATAGGTTCTTTTTCATTTGGGGGCAGTAACTATGGAATTGTTGCAATTTGACATCATTTTAACTGCCTTGGCTCAATACCATGAACTCCAAGGTCTTTATTCTGCTGTGCCAAAGAGTGCTTGTGCATTACCAAACTACAAATCTCAGGATTCTATGGTATTGGATAGTGCAAGGAATAAAAAAGGTAAAGGTAAAGGTAAAGGTTTCCCCTTGACATTAAGTCCAGTCAGTGTCCGACTCTGGGGGTTGGTGCTCATCTCCATCTCTAAGCCGAAGAGCCGGCGTTGTCCGCAGACAACTCCAAGGTCATGTGGCCAGCATGAC